CATTACAAAGTTTCTCCACAGCATGGGTTGCCTCTGCGTCCAAGACTTTGGAAAGGAGACTAGGAATGTCACAAGTGTCTGGTCTGAGTGTGGGAGGGGGGACCTTGCGTCCCTGCAGCATAACGGTAGAGGATCACGGCAGTCTGAAACTCCGTCTCGCACCTCCCAGCTATAACTGTGGCTGGAAACACAGGCTACCAACGAGCAGAATGAAAAAGCTGTTCACAGGGTTATCCATTCAACACAGCACTGCTTCAGAGCAGGTTTTCTCAAGGCAAGATGGGACAGTCAAATTTTCTGGATTTCTGCAAGCATGGAAGGAAAGAGACCTGTTACACAGAAGCAGCTGAGGTGCTAAGATGACAGACAGGAGCAGCTTGACAGAAAAGGAGGAGGAGCTGTCAGACTAACTGCGATAAGGCCAAAATTGATTTAGCGATGGAGAATACAGACATGGTAAGCGGTACACCGTCTGCAGAGAAAAGCCTTCCCCACTTTCAAGAACGTTGCCTGCAGTGCCTCCAGAAGCCCAGTGACAACCCCACCACCTTTGACTTTCTCCACTGCCACAACCACCTCCTCACTGAAGGGGCTGCTCTAATCAAGTGAGAACCTCACTCCCCACTGCAGAAAGGCAAAAATATTGGCTATTAAAAGCCAGAAGAACAACCAGCCTTCTTACCGGAAGGCACTAGAGCTGTGAAAAGTCACTGAACAATTCAGGTCTCTGGAGGTCTGCTAGTCCAAACTCCTGCTCAAAGCAGGGCTGCGCTGAGCCCCCCTCTCCAGGAGAGCCCCCAAATGTGGACGGACCACACCCTGGGAGCAGGTGGGATCAGAGGGAAAACACTTAAGGGATGAGCTGTTACAAGCCCTTAGAAAGCTTCTGGTAACCATTTACAAGTGGCTGGCTATAGATGAAAAACCATCTGAGTCGGCGTCACAGCTGAACAGCGTTCCCCCACAGCAACGCTGCATTAATCACTCTGCTGGCTGACTTACCTCTCTACATCAATTAAAGACACAACATAAATACTGGATTAAAAACTGTAGTCATGTTCACTGGTCCATGCGTGATTTATCTGCAAGACGCACACAAACACACAGCCAGCCCAGAGTCTCTGTCACAGCCGCTGCTGAATGAAAACCATCTCAACCAGACCCCTGCATCCTGCTGGCTGACAGAGGAGAGCGCGGTTTTGGCTTCGGGAGAGTATCATCTGAGCTACTTTGGTTGCTGAGTGGGGAAAGGGGAAGGCAATTTTGTCCTTCTCCCTCACCTCTTTGCTGTCAGGTGCAGACCCAGTGAGGTCCTCTCCTGCCTCTCCTCCCTCAGCCCCCTGGAGGGGGAGCAACCAGCAGTGCTTCAGAGCAGGATGGGTCCCTCCAGGACTTCCATCTGCATCTTGAGAGGGGGGGATGCGAGGAGCCGTTGGCCCCATCCTGCTCCCCTCCTTGCATCCCCCCTCTCAACACGCAGGCAGAGGCTTTGCCTGAGCAACGGTTGCACGCTGCAGCAGGGAGGATGACAAGGTAGGATGGCACCTCCCTGCAGCACCAATGCAAAGGCTGACTTGCATGCACAAGACGCTTGCAGTGGTCTGCCAGTTAACTCCCGCTTGCACTGAGCACCCCCAGAAAGCTGCAGGCTGCTCCGCTGATACCGAGCTCAGGTGCCTGGTGGGTCCCAGAGGAGGGCCGGAATCAGCAGAGTATCCTTACATATTGCAATGGAAGCTCCTGAGTCCCTGAGGTCAAGCATTGATCTCTGCTAAAGGCAAACATTTCAGCAAAGAAAGGCAGGGTACTGGGTCCCATACAAAGCTATCTGGCCAGACTCTCAGTGTTGCCACCCAAGAAGATGCACTGCTGAGACCTCCTGAGAACCTGCCCCCACCTTTTACAATAGCATCGGGGGTAAAAAAAAGCAAGTTACAGATGATCCTATTCCCAAGGGAGTCCAGGAGCCTTAGGCATTCACAACAGAATCACCTTTTTCTCTCTGCCTCTGAAATGTGCATTTTCAACATGGGTGCCTGGGATGCCTAGAATTTGTAAAGCAACGGAGCAAAATGGCATTAATTAAAACTTGAGCAGAACCTGACAAATTCTCAGTAAACTAATCTGCATGCCTCAACAGTCTCAACAAGAGTGCTCCAAGCTCAACAAATGTTTAATGGCTAAAAAATGCAGTGAAAAACTGCATTTGCTAAGCCCAGATGAGACTTAAAAAATGTACCCTAATGTGTTTAGAAGTATACACAGAAATAGAGAATAAATAATGAAAAATGAAAAAAAATTATCATTCTTGCAGTTCACTTTTTGACTTTTCCTATTGCTTCAAATCACTTCCTCTGCAATGACTTTGAAGAGGAATTATCCAGTTTCTGTGTCAAAGCTAGGAAATGCATTTTACAGGAATAATTTATTTTTGAGCTCAGCAATTTAACCGCAGTCTACAGCAACCAGAATATTTTAAAAGCCAGGAAAAAGAAGCTAAATGTCACCTCTTTGCCGTTTAAAACACTGCACTCCATAATCGCAAGAGGTTTGCTGAGCATGTTCCAGCCTGCCTTCAAAAAGCTCATCTAGACAACCCCGCCCTGACAGCCAAGCAGGGCCCATTTACAGATCTGCACTGGTTTTTTGTTTCTTCTGCATGCTTCCTAACACTGTATCCAAGACAGCACAAGTTTTCTTCTCAAATGTGCATTGGGCATTCCCTGAATTAATGTGTTCTTCTCCCTCTTCTGCTTGTTTGTTTTAAACCACCAGAGCACGATGAACAGCTGCAGGGATCTCCTGGCTTTGTTTCCCCTCCATGAGCTGTTGATCTACCACACTTGATTAATTCAAACAATCCCTCCCAATGAGCACTATCATGCACCTGTCTGCACTGAGTCTCCTAACACAGCCTGCTGCACCACATCGCTTGGGCTCCAGCAGCAGGAGGCATCTCTCTTCTTCAGGAAGAGGACTGAATGTTTACTCTACGGTAAGCACGCACAACTTCTAAAGCCCCAGCACTTGAGAAGCGCTGATGGTTTCTATTCAGGACTGCAGTTTTTAGCAACGTTGCCAGGGTTAGGGGCTGACTTCCTGGCTTCTAGCATGGAGCAGCCATGCTCAGTGGCAGATGCCAGATGTGTGCGCATCCCAGCATCACATGTGGAAACAGTCGCATCTGGTTTTGCTGCTGATCTGCAACTGCAAGGATCGGTTTGCTCCAACACCTCCCGGCATCTGAGAGCACATCATCTTCATTACAGCCAACAGTGAGCACACCACCAGGAAAGCTGTTGCACAGTGGTCCTCAGTGGGGGAGGCAAGTCATGAGGCAGCTGTTAAGGTCCTTCTCTCTTTGATCTCTCCCTGTCCTGCCCACTGAACTGACAGTTCAATAAGCTAGATTAATTGACTTGGACCCTTCAGGAAATCTGGCAGAGCACAAATCCACTCAGGTGGTAATTTTTTTGATGTGTGGCCCTTCGACTACTTGGGCTGGAAGCACCAGCACATCTCTAAACAGTCCTTGCATTGATCTTGACATTTCTTTATGCATTAAGAATTACATCCATCAGGAAGGCTGCCCTGTGCCAGGCACAACAAAAATAACAGCAACAAACAATTTTCAGCTGGTCTTCAACGTTACCTCCTGAAGTGCTCTGCAGGAAACGCCAGCTTGGTCGTACTACTCTGCATAGGGGAAGGGCGAGGCAAAACAGGAGGGACCTGTCCGAGCTCACCCAGTGGGCCAGTATCAAACTCGAGGTTAAAACCCAGGATGTTAGGTAACAGGTGAGCCAGCGCTCTCTGCAGGGCCACGATGTCGTCCAGGCAAGAGGGACTGGGAAATGAGGAGGAAAATTTCAAGCAGGAAAATGATTTCTACAGCATCTTTCTACTCCCTGTGCCTGAAGACCGCTGGCCACCCCAAGGGTCTGTGGCACAAACAGGGGGCTTTCAGGTATGAAAAAGACACCATGGTGGTGTCTCCCTGTCCTGCGCTCCCCTCTGAAAGCCTGGTGCAGGGTACGCAGGAGCTGCAAGGCGGGCTGGTTCCCTGAGGGTGGAGGGTAAGATCTGCGAAACCTGGGGTTGCCTTGTGCTGGCCTCCAGCCACAGAGTAGCCAGGACGGCATCGAACTCTGGCCGCAGCAAGGACAGGTCTGTCCCCTTCTCTGGTCTGCACCAGGCTCTTCCACCTATATGTGAGCTAAAGCAGGAAAATGCAGAGCTGAGGAGAATCCCTTCCTGAAAAGGCAAAGTGCTTTGTCACTAGCAGAGAAATTGCAAACACGTATCTGTGCACACCAACAAGGAAACTCCTGGAAGGGGGAGCATGGGGGACAATATATCATAAGGCTCTGTATAGCAGCTAAGTGAGAGCGTATAGTTAAAAACTACACAAAGGCCCTTTGTCTTTAAAATACAATGCTAATGGCTGACATCTACAGCAGCCTCCTCAGCAAATACATTTAAAGCCCAGGTTCATTCTGACTGGGTAATCCCTAATCTCCCCGACCTCAGACAGCACGGGTTTGGATACCCCCCAGCCTGCTAACTCAGGAGAAGACTCTGCTTGGAAAGAAGCAAACAAATTATTCCAATGCTGTCATCCCAGCATTTCCAGAGGTTTCCAGGTTTCAGTCCTTCACACTTGTGGGTCCAGGGTCAATGCAATAATGATAAGCAACAGTGACTATTTACTGTAGCACCCACTGCTAAGTACTAGTACCAACATGCTCTGCATTGTCAGGAAACCAGTGTTCCCAGCACCCTAGGCTCTAGCCAGCCTTCTGCAGCTGCCCATTTGCACAGCTTTTCTCACAGCTACAGCTCACATTCACAGCACTGCAGCATTTGTCCAGTTACTTTCCCACCCACCACGTAAATAAAGTGACAAGTGACTTGAGAGATGAAAGCCACCTGCCGATGGGAGGAGATAAACGGGGAAGAGACAGAATATACGTCACAGCGCTCTACCCCTCCCCCAGCTCCTTTAGAAACAGAACAACACAAAAAAGTCCTGATGCTTCAATTGCTAAATGATAAATTAACAAAGCAAAGCAAAGCAGGAGCAAAGACATCTCCCACAATCTGCACAGAAACAGCAAAATATACAATAGAAAATGTCACTAACACCCCATTCAGGCAGATGCACTTATTTTTTGTGAATGACAGGTTATTAAATGAAAAAATTTTGACCACCGGTACTTTGCTGCATGGCTGTTCCCCTAGTTGTCATTTCCACCCTAAGTGACCTTCTGCTTAATGCTGGGTGTTTCTGGCCTGTAGTCCTTCCTCTCCGAGACATTGCGCTTCACCTTGGCACTAACTGGAGACTCCTGATTCAGTGAGGGACTCGAGTGGGATTTCTTCAGTCCTGGCGCATCATTCTCTCCTCCACTCAGCAGCTCCTTCACCCCTTCTTTCAGGAGGCCAACGTAAATCTCATAGCGATTTTTCTGGGAAATGAGAAGAAAGGCCTGAATCAGTCTGGAAGAAATTCTACAGAAGCACTTGAGAGACCGCCTGGGTAACAATAGTTTCTGCCGGCCTTGAAGGCCAGGAGCCTAATATGGATGTGAACAATGGTGCCTGATGTGGCCATGAACAATGGTGACTAATGTAAATTACACTATACAAAAAGGATTTCAGGCAGGCTGAGCCCAGGGGTGCTGTGCAATTAGAGGCAATCAGTTCTGCAGCACACAAATCCTGGTGCTCTGGTGAACAGTGGCTCCCAGATAGTTGGAGCGCATGGTGATTTCCGAGTAACAACACCAAGAGAGAGCTTGCTGACCTTAGCCACGCTGAGTCATATTCTGTGCTCACACATATTGAGATGTTATGGGCCCCACGCAGGCATGGAGATAAAGTGCAGCAAACTAAGGGACAACAAAAATCCTGTTCTGGTTGGCTACAGCTCTCCCCTGCAACCCTCCGCTCCCGCCAGCAGGTCCTGCTTTCCCTGCTTCAGCCCACAGGGGAGAAACCAGAGCAGGGTCCTGCTAAGCTCAGACGGTACCAGCTTGGCCACCACTGAGCCTGTGAAAGGATGCTCTGCAAGGCCAGACCTTAACAAGAAGGAGCAGATGAGAGGGCTATGACAGCAGCACGGCGTGTTCCCCTGACAGGGCCAGTCATGGTGAATGAAGTTTGCTCTGTCCAGACACTTGTATTTTTCAATTGGAAAAAGTTCACTTTACTGTGCCCCATGCCCACTTGTTCTGCTCCTTGTCTGGAGCAGAGCTTTCCCTCTCCAATGGGAAGATTTCTCTCTATGTGCCACAATAACATCTTTCTGCACAGAACATCTTGGCAACCAACAAAATGAGGGTACATTAACCGACGATCCCTGCAGAGCCTCAAAAACAGAAGCTGGGGCAGGAGGTCCTGAGAACAGAGCAACCCACCTCCTGGGATTTGTTTAATAACCTGCCCCTGACATATCCACTAAAGACGCGGTGCAGGCATTGTAATTAAGGTGATCTCAGTGGGCTGGGGGCCAGGGAAGGAGGACAAACATCCATACTGATTGTTAATTTATACTTTGAAGTGGCAGAACAGTTGCCAAACTATTATGTTTCTGACAGAGGAAAAAGCATTTAAGAAAAATTCTTCTAATTTATAATAAAATAGTAAGTTCTGGTAGTAACTCTTATTCGAGGGCAGGAAGTCAAAAAGCTTGGTAACTGCTTTGAAGTGTGAAATATAAAGGTAAAAACAAAAAGGAGAGAATGTGACTGTGTTTCCAAAGAGTCCTTTGAATAAACAAAACTTCAGAGGAGGATCATAAAAGAATCCACCTAAAAATTAAATAAAAAAGCATTCTTATCAATTCCATATCTGGAGCTCCAGTTCCACAATGCGAGAGACAAACACGTGAAGCAGGTAAGATATGTCATTCAATAAAAAAGGAAATGGAGAAACAGCAAGTAGAACCCTGATGATGATGCACTGGGCTGATGAATGATTCATCACACAACAAATGGGACACCTCTGCAAAAGAGAAGGCAAGCCAGTGCCCTAAGCCTGGGATCAGCATAATATTCATCAAGGGAGAGAGGGACTTTACTGCTGTATGGACTTCTGCTTTTTGTTGGTCCAATAACCACCACCAGGGTCACAAGACCCAGCAATCAGAATGGAAATCCAGGACCAGTTTCTGCCCTGCATGTCTGCCAATGGCCATTTTGCCCTGGACTTTGTGGGCCCATGATTTCTATCGCAATTAAGCAATGCACTTGGAAGTTTCTATTTTGATTTCAACTGCAACAAACCTGCTCTTTTAGTGATCTGACATTTGAAGCTAGATATTAAAGCTGGTGGAAATTTTTCCTTAAAAGAAATTAATCTGGAAAATTCTGTCAAGAAAGTAAAAACACAAAAGTTAAAATGATTCAAAAGCTTCTGCAACATTATCTCTGAAGACTGAATGCACATAATAAAGGGGAGATGAGGTAGCCACCCATCAAATTTCTGGCTTCACCTCTCACCTGACAGCACTCAAAAGATCTCTCTCAAACCATAAAGTTGCTGCAATGAGCAACCATCATCTGGAGCAGTACTTCTTCAGACAGCAAGCAAAGAGGAAATGTTCATTCCTTGGTGTCTACAAGCAAACACATCAGCAAGTAGAAACTCTTCTGGCTGCATCCCTGAACAAGGATCAAGCACCTCCTGGTTCACCTCCCCTCAGAAGGAAACACCATCTCACTTGTTTTTCATCAGGAACAAGAATGAAGGGAACGCTGGTGGGTGAACAAAAAGGAATTACAAGGGCCTACAGAAAAGGATCTGGCTTCTTCCTTCCTAAGGGGACTATGCTGCTTCCTTTGGGACTCGGAGGCCCTTATGGTGTGCTTCTGGAGATGTAACAGCATGGCCTTCTGTACACGGATGCAACATCTGGCCTCCAGTCTCAGCCTGAAAGAGCTAAGTACAAAATACTGCCTTCACCTGCCTCTTGCCCCTTTGCTTTGACCCCACGCAGAAAGGTCTGTCACCAGCTCCTGCCTGACCCTGACAGGACTTTGTTCTGAAGGGAAGGTGAGGAAACCCCAAAATTGGGGGAAAGTTTCCATTCAGGATTTGCATATAAGCTCACCTTTTTTTTTTTTAACTGCCTATTGATAGTTCAACATGGCCTGCGAAATCTGTGCCAAGTGTGAAGGTAACACAGCATTGCACAGCAGCACCTTGAATCACCATCTCTCGCACACAGCTGAAGTTGGTGCTGCTGATCATGTATCTGAACTGCACAGTTCAATTGATGTTCAAGGGAAGAGGACATCTTTTGTTTCCTGGGCTGTACTGGTTCTGCTTTGTACTGATGTACCTGAGGAATATTTCTCTAAAGACCGTCATGATAAAATTGACAGAAAACAGAAAAAACCCGCAACAATCTCCTTCTCCATCAATCTTTCTAAAATCATCTAACACTCCAGCCTACATTTCATCCTAACTCATCATGCTTCTAGAAGTGATAGAAAATAAACTTTGTGTCAAGGACTCGAAGCCAAGAAACTCTTTGCTCTCCCAAGTTGCACAAGACCCCCTAACAGAGTGAAAGTGTGTGGCTTGCTCTGTACATCCGAGTGCTGTGTTCAAAACTGACATTGTGCCATTGATCACAACCCTTTGATCTCAATTGTTCAGCCAGTTTCCAAACCACCTTACTGTCGATTTCCTAGTCCACAGTTTATCAGCTTGTCTAAGAGGATGTTAGAGGAGACAATGTCAAAATCCTTGTTAAAGTCAAGAACAAACAACATCCACTGCTCTCCCTTCATCCATCACACCAGACTTCTCACTGTAAAAGGCTATGTTGTTAGTCAGGCATGATTTCCTCTTCATAAAGCCGTGCTGATTACTCAGAATCACCTTCTTGTCTTTAATGTGTTTGGAAGTGATTTCCAGGAGAATTTGCTCCATCACTTTCCCACAGACGGAGAAGCAGCTGACCAGCCTGTAGTTCCCTGGACCTTCCTCGTCTTTCTTGAAAACAGGAATGACATTTGCCTTCCTCCAGTCCCCAGGAACCTCCCCTGATCACCATGACCTTTCAAAGGCAATTGAGAGTGGCCTTGCAATGACATCATCCAGCTCCCTCAGCACTCATGGGTGCATCCCGTCAGATCCCATGGACTTGCGTATGTCCAGTTTAAATATTCCCTAACTTTATCATACTTCACCAAGCACAAGTGTTCTTTGCTCCAGATTTTCCCACTGGGCTCATGTATTTGTGACTGCTGAAGGCTGGTCTTACCAGTAGAGACCCAGACAAAGAAGACATTGAGTACCCTGGCCTTTCAGTTTTCTTTGTGACCAGGTCCTCTGCCCCATTATGGGCCCCAACTAGGGCCCATATTTTCCCTAGCTGTCCTGCTGTTAACATACCTGTAGAAACCTTTCTTCTTGCCCTTCACATCTTTTGCCAGATTCAACTTCACATGGGCTTTGGCTTTCCTAAATGCAATCCTACATGCTTGGACAGTATCTCTATTCCTCCTGTGTCACCTGCCACTGCTTTCACCTCCTGCACACTTCCTTTTTATGGTGGAGTTTTGCCAGGAGCAACTCGTTTGTCCATGAAGGCCTTCAGCAATCTTTGCTTGGTTTCTTGCTCGTCAGGGTGAACCATTCCTGAGCTTAAAGGAGGTGATCCTTGAAAAGTGACCAGATCTCCCAAAGCCCTCTTCCCCCCAGTGCCGTATCTAATGGGATTCTTCCAAGCAGTTCCCTGAACAGGCCAAAGTCAGCTCTCCTGAAGTCCAGGGTTGTGATCCTACTTTTTACTTTGAGCCCTTCTTTCAGGAACATGAAGTCCAACATCTCGTGGGCACTGCTGCCATGGTTGCCCCTGACCTTCATATCCCCAACCAGTTCTTCCTAGTTTATAAGTAAGAGATCCAGCAAAGCGCCTCTCCTTGTCTGCTCCTCGGTCACCTTAGGAAGTTGCTGTCAATGCATTCCAGAAACATCCTGGATTGCTTGTGCCCTGCTATGTTGTCCCTCCAGCAGATATAAGGGTGGTTGAAATTCCCCATGAGGACGAGGGCCTGCAAACACAAGGTTTGTTCCAGTTTTTGAAAAAGGCCTAGCAGACAGCCACTGCAATGACACCCATCTTGGTGTGCCCACTAATCCTGACCCACAAGCTCTCAGCTGGCTCATCACCCTTCCTTAGGGAAAGTTTGATGTGTGCCTGCTACTCATGCACATAAAGAGTGACTCCCCCTCCTTGCCACACCCCTGTCCGTCCTTTCTAAAAAGCCTGTATACATTCATGGCGGCACTCCAGTCATGTGAGCCATACCATCACCTCATTTCAGCTGTGTTTTATTGATATGCAGTCTCTCCTGTTTACATCATTGTGTACCCTTTGCTTGCCAGTCCTGTCCACCACTTCCTCATTTGATTGTTGGTAAGATCATTTCAGGTATGTGGGATGTGGAAGAACAAACTGGCCAACTGTGTTGCCCATACAAAACAACAGCAAAACATCTATGCAAAATACCTCCAGCTGACCATATGCAATGCAGCCCAGAGCTACAGCAAAGTCAAACCCAACACAGCGGTTACAACCTTCTGCAAAAGCAAAAGTGCACAACCAGTCAAGCCCAGGAGTAAAAAGAGCTCCTCCAAAAGAAACTCATAACACATGGCAGGAGGCTTCAGTTCTGGAGTGTTGCCTCCAGCATCTCCTCTGGTGGTCTCTCTGACTTTTGTCTTATCTGGTCTTTCTCTTCCTCAGACTATGGATTTTCCTTGCCAGGCAGCGCCTATCTTACAGTAGGATCCTTTCAGACCCAAGGCAACATTGACTCGCAGTTCTGGGGGAAAAAGCTCAAAGGTGCAGCCATGAAAAATACCAGGCATCTCCTGGGTTGCCTACCCCCTCCCACATAGCCCTACAATGTGGCAGACACCATGATGGATAAAAGCTGCTGTCAGATACTCAGAACAATCTCCTAGTGCAGCTGCCTAAGTTGCATCACTCAATCCTGTGATCTTTAATTCTACCCTTTTCCTGCTCGTCCTGACATCCAGCTCACTGGTAAACAACACAAATGGCTCTGATGAGGCATACCTATGACAATAATTTTAGAAGAGCAGTTCCTTCATAACATACCGATGGAAGACAATTATCATGATCTGCATTACCGCAGAATGCAGTCATTCCGTAAAGACTGAGGTAGGCAACACACAGTCTTAAAACATGAGAGAGTTCCTGCCTGAAGACTTTATCATCTCTTCAAATAGATACATCAGGCAAGGACAGAGGGTCACATTTTTATCCTCCATTTTACAGATGAGGAGCTAAATTCATGGCTAAGGTCACAGGAAGTCCACATCAGAAAGAGGAGTCACATCCCAGCGTCTGGGATTGCTGTGACATATCTGTCCAACAAGAACATACTCCTTGGTGAAGTAAGGTGAAAAAAGCAGAACATTAGGACTGTACCCCAAGTATAAGACCAGCTGCCCCATCCACACCCAAAAAGGAAAAGTAATAATATTTTCCATACATACCTCAAACTCCAGATAGTGGTCCTTCAGTTTATAATCATCTACTTCCTTGCCTTTGAGCTTCTTGTCAGGAGGATAGGAGCGATGTTCAGCAAGCTCAGTGGAGATCTGCTTCAGCTTAGCTTCATGGGACTTCAGCTGTTCATCCTTCAGAAACACATTAGGCACTTAAGTGACAGAATCCAAAATACTCGATAAGCAAAGGAAAATAGAGAAATCCCTGTACAGTAATACCAAGTAGTTTCTTTTTCTTTCTCTCTCTCTTTTTCTCCTTCTTTCTTTTAACTAATATTAATTAGATTGATAAGGTTTGTTATCCCAGAGCTCTGTCTCTCAAAGGCACCCAAGCAAAGTGGCCAAGTTTGCAGAAAAACTCAGCAGCTAACAGATGCCACTGGGAAGGATAGCAAACCTGTCATCCCTCGCCTTGCTGAGAGCAATGGAAGCAGTTTGCTGCAGAGCATTACTGACAACATGACACTTCTGCTCTAATACATTTTTTGGCAAATTAATGAAGGCTGTGTATGCATCAGACCAAGGGCAGAATGAGACAGGCGAAGACCCTGCCTCAGGTCTTTGCAATGTAAACGTAGTTCTTCCCAGGACAGAAAGGACAGAGTCAGGGCCCTTCCTTCCATTTCTACACTACCAAACGCTCTCTGGTCTGCAGTTTCTATTTGCTCAGAACAATGCAATGCATCCAGAAGTGGAAGGGCCGTCCAGTCCCCAAAAGGTATCTCTTTTTGCTAAGCTGCTACCAGCTTTTATCCCACTGTGCAGTTGGAGAAAGTGAGGAGCTGCTACTCCCCCTTTCTAGGCAATTTCCTTTATCATAATCCCAGGCCCACTCACTTCCTCCGGTCCATCTGTCAGCTAACCTTCCCTCAGCTCAGAAGGTTTCCAGCTCCTGCAGCATGGCCTTCTGGCCGTTTCTAGGCTTGGCTCTGAAATTATGTTTGAATTAGGTAAGTCCAAAATATAGACATGATCATGCAGATCTCAGTGACTTAGCCAGAGTCGTAACAGCAGGTAGTACCCAGCTCAGCTCCCGCATATGTACCTAGCCTCAGAAGAAGGGATAGCTGCCAGTAGTTGTCCCCCAGTGACGTGGTTGCGCAGCTTGCAGCTTCAAGCCTAGCTTGGACATGCCTGCACTGCACTGTGGGTCACACCAGGAACTGAGCTTCTCAACTCACTGAGCTGGAGCCATGGAAAAGAGCAGAAAGGGGGAAAACTTCTGCAGAGGATGATAGTTGAGCCCCAGCTAATCTTGTGTTTCAACTCTTTTGCAAGGGAACTGAAGAAAGAAACGTGGGATAATTTGCCTCCGCCTATACATGGTAGGGCTCAAACCGTTTGCTATTGGCTGCCAAAAATTCTTGTTGCTGTTAGTAACTACCCTGGATCTGCTTGCTCTCTCTATTAGTACCCAAGCACTCTTTACATTGTGCTGAATCCCTGGTCCCAGTGACATCCTGTTGCAGTGAGTTCTACAGCCTGATGACAGGAGGTCTTTGAGCAGCTATTAATTTGGCACTTGTAATTTCCAGGGCAGCAGCCCTTTAGAGCTTTTGTGTGTGCATGCACATGCTCAGAAAAAAAAAAGAGAAAAAAAAAAAAAAAAACTAGTAGATCTTTTCTAGACTGGTTGTTCCTTTATATATAGCTTTGTCACATCCCTCTTTGGTTGGACTAACCAAGATCAGACACTGATCTGCTTTTGAAAGCAAAGTTGGTACAATGATCTTGCACAACCTGTTATGTCCAACCTCTCTCCCTAACCCATGTTAGGTTCTGACTGCATCCCAACTTCTGCCTGACCAGGAACAGGCCCTTTGAAGAAGTACTGTCCATCATGATTCAGCCCACAAAATCCTAAACAGCAGCCACAGGGATTTGACAATTCAGAATTTTTTGTCTGCCAAATGAGAAGCAGCCTGCTGGCAGCTTTTCCACACTGACAGATAAAAGCAGACATGTTTCTGCTTGCCTTTGAATTTATCTGCTTTGAACACTTAACATTCTTCCGCCTTTAGCTAAAACAGCTTATCTTATTCCACTTTTCGTGTCTCCCCTTCTTCGAGACACAAACCACAGGGCTGTGTCCTATTTTTCTCCTTTTTAGATTAAATGGAAACAATGAGACTAGGAAACAATGTGCTAAATAGAACAATCACACAGAACAACGATGAGTAAAAAAGCTTTTTTTGGTGACCGGGGGTAAATTATTGAAGCCCCATACAGTATTTTAAGAAAGGTATGCATAAGCAAAAAGGGAAGTGACAAGGATGAGACAAGTTAGTATTATTCTGTATGAGACATGTTTTAAACTTTAACCCAGAATTGAAGATGGAAAGTCGGTCACCACATTGTAAGAAGAAAGCCTACTGCCACAGAGAGGGAAAAAGCAAGGGCAACGTAAAAAAAATCACCCCCTTAGAGAAATGCAGATTATGAGATAGTGGTTTCTAAGGAGTGTTGCTAAGCTATGAAGGTGGCAAAAATTGCATTTAAGAAGCAATCCAGCACGGGCAGATGACTTTAAAAGCTACAGGAGGTTAGTCACAAAGTATACACATTGGGATCCATCACCTCTGCCACCCTGTCAAGCTGATAAACACAAACAGTATCATGTTCATGCCAGTGCAGGAGAAATTGCAGGCATGCATCACAGCTCCCAAAGTACACACATCTATGGGCACAAGCATCAGATGCAGCCAGTCTGAAACAAGCAGAAGTAGGTGTTTTTTCGTACAAGAAGTAGTAAAGCTGTGAAACTCCCTGCCACAGGATGTTGTGGAAGCTAAAAGCTTATGTGATCACAAGGGGAGACCAAAGACGTTTATGTAAGAGACAGTTTATAAATATACATTAAACAGGAAATCCCTGAGCTGATAAGGGTTGAAGTCTGGAAAAGTATTGTGGGAGAAATATAATTGATGCTTGCCTTATGCATCAGCTTTCACCGTTTATCACGCCAATAAGCCAAAGAGCAGGACTACGTCCACTTCTTCTGAAAGGAGTGGCAGTAAACACTCAAATTAAAAAAAAACCCAGTCAGGCAATATTGGAAGTGTCCTCTGCAGAGCCATAACCGTGGTATGAAAATTCTGTATCTGGTACTAGGAACACTGGTGATTGTTTCTTTTCTTTAAAAATATAAAACGGTTATATTCAACTCTGCTCCTTCTCTCCCCCCACTTCAAATTCTTGCATCAGGAAATGAGCAGAGATTTACCGTGCAAGCCTCCTCCTCCTCCTAGGAATGCTAGTGGCAACAGCCACAAAACAATGACAAGGACCACTGTCCAGTCTCCAGCCAGCCAGAGAAATCACCATCACCTACCCTCTATATAAAAACAGCTCACCTGAGATAGCTTTGTTGTGGTGGCTGGCAGGAGTGGGCGACTGAACTTCTTCTGAGAGCCAATTGCCGCTGGAAATGGCGGTGCAGAGAAGACGGCAGCCACACAGTTAATCTTGTTGATCCAGGTCTGCATTTCTTCTTGGCTCCTGGGTAAGAAACACATATTAGGCACTTGTTGACTCAGCCTCCTCTACCTCTTTCGCACACCTTCAATGGCATTTTAAAAGCGAGAATAACCAGAACTGGACAAGTCTTAAGAGTCTGCTCAGTCTTCTGGTCTATCTTTGCAAGTGGTTAGTGTCAGGTATCTCGGTCACAGGCTGGCTCATGATTAGGTCCATAACTCACCCTAGCATGCATCTTTTCCTATCACGCACCAATCCAAGTGACACAGGCAACAGAGCCAACCAATGCCCTGATTCAGACATGAATCCTAAGGTCTCAGCTGTGCTGGACACCACAGATCTCTAGGAGGTTTGACATGGATCTCAGTAGAAAAGTGTTCATGCACAAGACTGATGCACAGGTTTTTAATGTCAGAAGCAAAAGGCAGGTCATCTGTTCTGTCTACATATCACAGCCTGAAGAACATAATCAAATTATTCTTGTATTAAGTAGTAACTTTGTTTCTGACCAAAGCATATCTTCTAGAAAGACATCTGGCTAGGACCTGATGACATCAGGAGACAGACAATCCAAGACTGCCTTTAGTCATTTGTTTCAATGATTAATCACCCTGACGGTTAAAAGTTTGTGCCTTGTTTCCAAATCGAATTTCCTGCGGCTTCAGCTTCCAGCTGCTGCATCTTGTTATGCCTTTCTCAGCTAGATTAAAAAGCCTCTTAAAACCTGATGTTTCTTTCTCATGAACTACTTGTGCACTCTAATCAAATCACTACTTAATCTTATTTCTGATCAAATAAACAGATTGAACCTCTTAAGCCTCTCCTTTAACCTGTCCAAGCATGAATTTACCCCTCCTTCAGCATTGCTTTCTTTCCTCAACGATTGGCACAAATCAGAAGAAACCACTTACTGGGCTTGGAAAAGCAGGACCCTCCAATCTGCTGTTTTAAGCTTGAGGACATTGGGTTTCTTCTCATAGTCTGTTGCCTTGGATGCCAGCGCATGATGCACACTAACTGCATTCTTCAGATCCTCCTCTGACAAAGCCTTTTCCGGCTTATATTCATCCTGCAGGAGTTAACAGGGGAAAAATGGCATCTTATTTCTCCACGTGCTACTCCTTTTTCCTTAACCTAGAGAAAAACCTTGTTCCATAGTCATGAATAGTATTAAAGTATGTGAACCGAATGCAGCCTGACTTGGGCACCTGCGGTTTCCACTACCTTTAATATCTTTTCCTTTCTCTCTCTTTTTCTTTTTTGATCTCTTTACAAGGGAGAGAAGTAGCTCCACTACCTGCTTGACAGGAAGAGAGAGGTAAACAGGAAGTATTTGACTGTCATAACAGCTGTGGACTATTTGTCTTCATTTCAGGAATCCTTCATGGCCAGCTCCCCACCTCCACTGCTCAGCTGCTGGCTCCTGCTTGGGTTCTCAGCCTCCCCTGCTTGATTTTTATTTTTCTCAGACAACTACCTTTGTACGTCCTCCTAGGCAGGCCCTCACGCAGTGGAGAAGCTCTGTTTCGACACAGCAAATTTAGTAACCTCCTTTAAATCTCTCTGCTCGGGGTCTGCAAATGGCAAGCACAACACCATTCAGGTTTTTGACACAACAGTACCACTCCTAACGCCAAATGACAAAAGCAGGGAGTCAAACTCCTCTGTGTTGCAAGGGTCAGCCTGGGAGCAGCCTTTGATCTCCCGAGTGACAGAAGCTGGATGAGGGCACAATCATGGCGTAGCCACAAGTTCAGTTTAAAGCCCACCTGACTATAAATGGCTTGTGAAAGCCAGGAGCTTTGTCAAGGAAAAGTCACTTGCCAGCAATGCTGCACACACAAAGTTTCTGAAGGAGAGGCCAAAGCAGCCTGCAATCGACTCCATTTCTCCCCCTTAGTACATCACAGAAATCAGTCTCATCTGAAACACCCACCAAGGGAGGGGGTGTGACCGCTACAAAACAGAGGAATAATTCCCTGCAGGCATGATAACTATTGATCCCTCCTTGAACACAAGAGTTACAAGACAAGGTTTAGCCGGTAACACAGTACATGACGCAAAGCACGTGCAGGGACAGCACTAGCTTGAACACCCACTCCAGAGAAGAGCTGGTTAATGTGCATGAATTGGTTTACAGGGCTTATCTGGCAGCACACAGACCAGGGTTGCAGCCAGAGGCAACTACACCGCTGCTGAAGGCATCTGTGCTCTCGGCCAGGCTGGGCTTGGTTGGGGCTCTCCAGGATGAGTTTCAATGGATGGGGAGTCACCAGCTGTGGTGACCACCTCCCAGAAGGGAGGACAAAGCGTCCTGCTCCTCTGCCACATCTCATCCTCCCTCACAGAGGTCCAGCTAGTGCAGGCCCAGAACTTGCTGCTGCTCAGACACTTCACCAGAGGAGATGCAGCTAACCAGCAATACTGCCACAGCACCACGTCCACTTGGGGCCAGACAAGGGCACAACCCACAACAGATCTGGCAGGCCTAGCAGAAAGGCAGAGCACTGCTTCACAGATGACCAAAGGATAGCCTTCAACTTAAACATCTGTGATGTAAGGGGTTTTCAAGGTCTGGTATTAAGCAAAGCCAAATGTCCTTCCTCTCTCATAGCTTGAGTCCCAGCGAGCTTTGGAGGGATCTCCATATCATGATGGACTTTGCCTACTCCCACTTAGGGCACTCTCTAAACCTTCAAGGAAGACCTGGGAAAGTCCCTAGCCGAAGGACAAGAACTGGAGGAGGCTGTCCAACGTCTGCCCCAGCCACATCTTGAAGATGAAGGAAGCAAACCCCCAGGTCAAGCCCCTTCCTTCATGGGTTCAAAAGCTGATTTATTTGGTGGTAGTTTTGTGGGAAATGCCCAGCTCCACTGTCCAGGGACACTGGGAAAACTTCAGGGCCAGGAAATAAACTTAGACAGTCCTCAGAAACATGATATTCTGGCTTTCCTCAAGTTACTGCCTAGAGACAGTGTCAGCTATCGCCTTGGCTGTTGCCTCCCAGCTTCCTCTGTGAGATGCATCCAACGTCCACCATCTGCTCTGGTGTCTAAACCTGTTCCAGAAGAACTCCACATTTGGGCAGTCCCAGAAGCAGTCCTGGCTGAGAACCCCTCCTTACCAACAGAGAGAGTTCACGATAATCCTTGCTAATCCCACCGGATCAGCTGGCTGCAATCTACCTTGACAGCTGGGGCTCTGCCAGCTTCTCCAAAGGCACTGATCAGCATACCGGAAATGTCTCCACGTAGCGGCCAGCCTCAGAGAATGCTGGAAGGATGTGAATGTGCTGTCAAAATTCCTCCTCTAAGGCCTCCAACTCTTTTCAACTAGCAGGGAATGCTAGGGGAGCAGGAACGTCCGTATCTCCTATGCCATCACGGACAGCACGTGCTCTGATGTGCTGGTGTCAGCATGGAGGTTGAGCTGAAATGGAAGGCAGCTCACTAAAGTTAGACCAAGACAGTGGCAAGAAATATATGAGGAGCCAGAAAGGAACTGTGACCTTTCTGTCAACTGAAGGCCAATGTGAGTACTGCACACAGCACAACGACATGCTGAATCCATCTTTCTCAGACTCCTGGAGAATGACTTTCCCACATCCTGCTGACCTGGAGTCAGCATATTTCTAAATCTGTTTTTGATAGACCAGAGAATGGCATTTGGCTTTTTATCAGTCAGTGTACCGTGGGTGGATATCTCCGCTTAGTTGCATGTGACGGCTGCAAAATTCTCTTTCAGAAAGCCTCGTCACTGAACACTTTACATCATTCTGGCCTTTCTCTCTTTTTTTTTTTTTACATTTTAGTAGAGGAAACACATTTGAGAAAAGTTATATAAAAGTACCTGAAAGCCCGCAAGATTATAAAGTGTCATATCAAAGAGCGAAGATGTTGCAAACCTCACAGAAGAGTCCGAACAAAACACGAAGGTCCATGTCCTGTACTGCTTGCTCAGAAACAATTTCTAGCAAGGAAGCGAGGTCAGCCTTATGTCCTCTCCTTATAAGCCTCTCTTCTGTACACACATCACATCCCATGTCAGTCTATCAAAGAGACATTCTGTCAAGCTCCTACTTTGCAATTTCCTCTTGCTATGAACAGAGGGCAGGACATTAACCTTGGCCTGAGGATGCCCAGAGACACGGCCAACATCCCAAACACGTCAAACCTCTCATTTTATAGAATACTGTGCAGGCATGTTTAGTTGGCTAATTGTGAACGCTTCCACTGAGCCCCTCTGGTGGCCTCTGTGCTCACTAATTCAGAAACCATCTCTCTTAAATTACTCATTTAAAAATAAAACAATAGGCAGCGCCAGAATTAGCACTGGAACAGTTCCAACGGAAAAAAAAAATGTGGGCATGGAGACAAGACTGCCCAGAAAAACTCCCCAGTAAATCTCAAGTGACCACCATTTACAAGCCACTCTCATACATAGACTTTGACATCAAAAAAAAGGAGAACTGGACTGGTATGCAAACAGAATGACAGCAGAATTGGGATCACGCTGCCCACTGGGGGAATCACAGCTGCTACAAACAATTAATATTTATATTACAGTAGTGTCTTGAGGGAACAGCTGAGTTACATATAAACACAGAAAGCAATAGTGCAGAGGTTTGGTACATGTGTTTGTGTGTATACAGCGCCTAGAGCAGCGAGATTTCTCTCTCCCCTGCTTGAATAGCACTCAGTGCAATGAAACCATCATCACAGATGTTACCTCCACAGATACACAGATAATATACAGACAATGAGAGAAAGAGGGAAAATTGTGTGTGCATATGTGAATGCACCCTGCCCTATAGCACTCCATAATCAGGAGAGAAGGCAAACAGAGGAAAGGAAATCCTTTGCCCATGGCTACTGCCAGAGCTATGCATTTCTACAAAGAAATCAAGCTGTTCGAAAATGCTCCTGAACTTTTTGAAATTAGGATAATTTCAGTCTCCTGGTATGTTGCAAAAGGGAACAACAGCTCAGCAACTTTTACTATAACAGTTTGGTCTAGCTGTGTATTTTAAAACCCTCAACTTCCGCGATACCACATCCCTAACAGAGCAAAGTTTATTTCAGGGCTGAAGCAAAGCCCTGCTGGACCTTCTGGAGCTGAAGAGAAATCAGAGTCTGTTTCACAGCTGCAGCACAAGGCATTGTGGCTAAGCAGGGGCCGGAGGCACACTGGGGAGGCTCACAGCTACCCCATCACTCTGGGAATGAGTCACTTCCCATCAGGACCCTCCGTCAACCTTTTATGGCACTAAAGGAAAAGTCTTGCTCGTCACTGTGCTACAGTAAGATGGCTTCAGTGCAAGTGTCTTCAGTACCAGGTGGGAGAGTGCAGCTTTGCAGAGTAACCACCCTGTAATCACTGAATTCAAGTGCTGTGACAAGTGCAAGACACACAAATAACAAACAAATAAGAACAAGAACTCCAGCAATGCATTCCATTTAGCAAAGTTGCAGTCAGATGTGAAATTACTCTCTTGCTCTCCAAAGGATGGAGGGTGAGAGTGGGGAGAGCAACCTTCTGCAGAAAATTTGCATGCTGCATCAGCATCTCTACATTTTGTCAAACAGAAAGCATTTTAAACTAATATGCCAGTGATACTCATAAAAGCATTTAATTAAGACTCTAAAATAGACAGCATCTCCATTTCTTCCCCTTGAAAGCTTATTAATCCCCCCTCAAAGATCAAATAAAAAATTAATTCATGTGTTACGGACAAGGAGCCTTCTTACTTCTTAGGGAACCATGCAGCTTTTTCAGGTGAACATTGAAGTTGACTTATTTCAGGAATCAAAGCAGGTGACTCCATTTCACCCAGGAAAGGGGAAGTACAAACCTGCCATGAAAGCCACTTTAGTAAAATCTGAACCTGCTGCCAGCAAGAGGACCAGAGGGAAGGTTCAGCTGTGATTCAGTAGACTTGGTTCTAGTCTCTTGCACTGGCTTGGAGCATGTCACATCCAACTTTCAGTCCAAATCTTCCTTCCTAACTGCAGATTGTTTTGTCTGTTTCAGGATTTCAGTCCTCTCAAAAAGGTACTGCACCCAGAGCATCCACCTTGTAAACCTCATGCTGTAAGAATTTGATCCAAACCACTCTCTTTCTTCTCAGAGACTATCCAGGTTGGCTCCAATGAAACCAACAACTTCAGAAAGCCACAGCAGGGGAGGAGGAAACAGCAGTATGCACTTGAACTTGCGCTCCTGATAGTTGCAAAACACAGTGGAAATGTAAAAAGGCTTTCATAGAAGCATACTTTTACAATACAGGGCAGTCTGGACAAACACCACCTATTTCATGAATATTTCACCTATGCTGGGGGGCAAAAAGCCTTAACAATCTCTTAGCTGCTACCATTTATTTGATTTTGACTCACTCAGAATCACTCACTCAAAATCACAGTTCTCACTCACATGTTGCACTTCACGTTCCAAGAGAATAGTTAAAACTGTACTATAATATATTTAAGCTTGCACCAAAAGACTTGAAGAGTTTCAGCTGACTTTTTTTTTTTTTTACTTCTTGCTGTCACGAAGCAAAGTTTATTAGAAACCAGTGCCTCATCTTGCTTTGGGGTTAAAAAAAGTATCCTTTTATCCTTCAATTTTGCTATGGAGCAGAAGCTGCAGATTCCTACCAAGGCTAAGCTGCTGTTCAATTGTTTTGCAGCTGGTCTTGCAGGCATTGCAGAGAAGTATACTATGAAAAGATGAGAAAGGAGGACAGCCTTACAGGAGGGGAAGTCATACGTATGAAAGGCAATGTTAAAAGCAGCCTAGAGGAATTAGTGCAAGACACAGAGATGATGCTGCCTTTGCTGGTGAAGCTGGCTATTTTTTCAGCCGTGAGTGACAGCAATGGCATAAACTGGAATCGATAGGGTGCACATGTGGATGGGGACAATGGAACTGAACTTGAAAATGTTAAAAGGGGGAGGGTGTCATTGAAAGGATACATGCCTGAATATGTGTGTAAACAGGGTGGGGGGCAGAGAGAGCAGCTACACTGTGTGTTGGAGGGAAAGGAGCCTGGAGGTGGGCTGTGAGAGCAGAGAGGATGCTTTATCCTTCTTTAATTAGTTTCCAAAAGACAGTGATTTCTCCTACCTTCTGCAAGTACAGGACCGTTCCCTTCAGCACAGCATAAAAGGTTTTCCAGCCTCTCTTTCCCCGGGGAGCTGCAAAGAAAACAAATGAAAACCCATTTAACTCGGATCCATTTTTACACTTTGTCTAGGCAACAGGAGAGCTACATTAGTCCTGTGTTAAACCTCCTTTGTACTCTCCTTTTCAAAGGACAATGCAACTCAGCACAGTGCCTGCACATACCTGCTGTGTGAGAGAGTAATGAAACAACCCTGACAACAGCCCTGGACTGGATCAGAAGGGAACAGCAGCAACGCAGAAAGCAGGCCAGAGAGATCCAGTCTTCGTGCTCTTGCAGCTAGGTGGACACTGCCCCTACACAGCTAGGTCTGAGCTCTGCACTGTGGCAGAGTTTTCAGATGGAAACACCCTTTCTCCTGCCACAGCAGGCTGGCAGGCACTGCTCAGGACCAACGGGACACTGCTCAGAAAGCAGTGCCTCTCAAGAGCATCCTTCCCCCTTGCCACTGCTGCATACCCGAGTTGGTACTGAGTAGTCAGATGGCTTCTTGGTCCATTCCCCTCTTCCTGCAGCCGCAGGGGAAGCCAAAGAATAGAAAGGAGAGGGGAACCAAACAAAATCCCAAGGAAAAAAAAAAATCACCCCTCAAGAAACCTAAGTCAGTTAGAGGTTGAAGAATGTAACAGAGACAACATATCCAGCCCACAAATTCCTAGAAACGGGGTGGGGGGGGAAGGTGGATAGGTGGATTCATCATGAAGGTTCCAGTTTGAAATTCAGCTGCAATAGAGAAGGCACAGGCTGCACAGTCACAGTGCCAGAGACCAGAAGCCTGCATCTAAGCTCACTCTCCACCAAGCATGCACCACTGACCAGCATCCACTTGCCTCTATACTGAAATTAATAACCCGTGCACGACTAAAGCATCACCCTTAGAAAGGCATCCCATTCTGATCTGAAGACAGCAAGTGATGGTGAAGAGGTTATTAGTCCATTGCTCCAAAGGTCAATCATTCTCGTCTCACACGACGGGCCTTATTTCTAATTGCCATTTGTTCAGTTCAGTTTCCAGCCATTGGCCCCTGTTATGTCCGTCTCCTCTAGACTGCCTAAGTGCTTTAGCCTTCGGTATTCCTTTTCTGAGAAAATACATATAGCATGCTAGCACATCACTTCATTAGCAATCCCGCACAAGCTGATCTCTGCCCTGCAACAACTCCATTAGAAAATGAAATATGAGAAGGTCTATCTAACTTTAAAGAAATTAGTTTCATTTTATTTGCAACTGTAAAGTCAGAATGTAACTTTTTCAGGAGCTGCATGACAATGAGAGACAGACCTCTAAGATGTACAGAAACTTCTGAAAACATGGCCCTAGTTACATGACTCATAAAAGGATTATCCCCAAAATGCCGACATCCAGTGTGCTGAATAATGAGCAATTCTGATTACTTATAATTAAAGAAATAATTTAATAAGGCAACTAGCTGCAATTATTTATTAAGGTTAAATAAACAGAAGTTTAATAAAGAGGAACCTATTCAGAGCATCCCATCATCATGAAGAATGAGGTCACTTTGATTTTGACATCTCTGTTTGGATTTAGCTGTCCAGCTGTCAGCCTCCAGCTTGAAAACACCAACCTCCAATTGTACCTTCTAAAATATACTAGCAAAACATGCGGACACCAAAGAGCTTAGCCCAGCTAGGAGAGAGTTGAAGTTACTGGTAACCCATCACAAAGTCAGACTTTGCCTTCAGGATTCAGCCCAATAGCATGAACCATGAGTAGGTGATCACCAGCAACGATCACGGAAAACACAGATGCTCTGAGTAGCCCCTGCTGTTTCCAAGAACATCAATAGAAAAAAAAAAAACAAATTAAGATGTCCAAACAACAAAACACAGGCAAATCAGAAGTCTTCAATAATTAGTGCACCACAAATGGAAGTAGGACAAGAAGGAAAGAGGATAATTAAAGTAAGAGACACAGCAGAATTATTACAAAGAAGGGGCAGGGAGGAACAGCATAGCATAAATCTGGCTGTTACCAAAAGCTGCAGAACTTCATTGGGTATGCGACCCAAGGCTGGGAAAGTAGGGAAGGGAACGGTTACAGCACCTTCCAAGTAGAAATAAAGAACAGCCTTTCTTTAAAGATAGACCCAGAGGGGAGGGGAGATTTGAAACAATCTGGTGTCACATAAGGAAAAGGAGAATTACCAAACTACTACGGAACAGCTACTGTAATTCACTTGGAATTGTTTTCTCTTCCGTAAACCATGAGATTAATTTTCTTTTAGCACAAAAGATTCACATTGCTTTGCTGTATTACATTACTCATTATGCTCATGCATTAGAGCTGCTGCAAATGGGACTGAACATTGTAAATCCTGGCCTAATACTGAGAGTGTGATAATCCAATTGCTGCGTTGTTTGTTATTGCTGCAATTTCCCCTAATGAAGCAGCACTATTTGCCTTGAGAAGCCCATGGGCTTATCGTAAGTGGCATTGTATGGAGATAACAAGAAAATGAGGCATTAAGAGCGAAAGATACTCACTTTTCTTTCCGTCCATATCCGCATGGCTTTTCCGAGCCAGAAATCCAGTTTTATACACAGCAGCATTGGGGTCATGAGGGATGTCCAGGAACGGGTTATTTGAGTTTCCAATTCGACTGACGGTCTTCGTCTGGCTCCCATTATCCTTTTCATCTGTACCATCTGAGTGAGACTTTTTTTTCTCTTCTTCATCCCTTAAAAAGCAGTGAAAACCAAGCATGAACAAGGGACTGACCAGCGAAGTTTCATTTCAGTAATTCTTGCAAGCTCCTTGTCAAAGCATACCTCTCTGTTTATGGGGGGGGCCTATTCAGAGAGCAACCTAGACATGTACCAAAACATAGTCGGATTATAGCAAAGCTTCAGTTCACCTACTTCACCAGCACAGGACAGAGGAGCCCGATTTTCAAAAAAGCTCGTTTCCCTCTTACAGTCTCAAAAGGCAGGATTTCAAGAGTGTTCTGAGTGCTAAAATGGGAAATATTTGCCTGCTGGGCTTTCCTGAAAAATCTCCAATTTCTTCATGAGTTCACATGTAGATGAAAAGAATTAGATTACTACAGATCACTGTGGCTTACCCCTTAACTTAGCATATGAAACACAGACTCTACCTCCTTTTCTTTATTTTCCCCCACAGACTAGCATAAAAGTAGTAATTTAAAAATAAAAACTACACTAGGTGAATTATGTTATCTGTATTTTAGAAACAAAATGCTGCTCAAAATGTTACTTATTAGGGCAATGTATTCAACACAGCTCTTGGGGACAACAATGCAACCTATTTCAGCAAGTCACAAGCATCCCCTGACTAATAAATGCCTTTTTGCTCGTCACAGCCAAAGGCAAAAAGGACCAGGCAACCTAGAAAACAAATGGTGTCCATCACAAGAGTAGGATGATGGTTTTCGGAGAACAACAGGCCACTGAATCTGGGTGGATGGTGTATCTGGAGGAACCACAGTTAGTGTCAGATTCCAGAGCAGCCCTGTGTCCTTTGAAGTCCCCACACATTCCCCTCCAGGTGACTGGGAAAGGTGTGTCAGGGAAGATGAAGGCTGTCACTGGAAAAGTCATGGTAGCAATGCTTCTCCTAAGACCAGCACCTGATTAAAAAGAATCATTATAACTCGAGTGTAATGATGGCTAAGAGGGGAAGTGGACTTCAAGCTGCTGCATCTCACTGGACCCAGATGATCAGCAGAGAGAGCAAGCTCAGGCAGACCTTCCAATCACACGCATACATTCAAAGGTGTGTATCAGATGAGGATTAGCAAGGCATATGTCAGTCCAAAAGCTCCTTTCAGGGCACACTGCAATGACCATCGAAAGAAATGTCCTCCAAGAAATGCAGGCTAGA